TATTGTTTTGTGATGGAGCCTTTAGCAACATCACTTGATCTACTGCAAGGTGAAAAAACATGTTTTTTAGGGTATGTAGCACACACTATAATTGCTTTAAGATTGAAATTAATTCAGTCAACGCATTTAGTTTATTGTAAGCCATTAGCATTTTCAATTGTCCGTAATCTTGAAAAAAGATTCCACTATTTGTTTGATTTAGAGCTTCCTAAAAGCAAACCATTTGTTTTATCGGCCATTAGTCTCCCTAAATTTAAACTTAGTTGGGTGGTACCAGTTAGACATTTAGAAATGTCCAAAATATTATTTTTGTCAGAATGTAATTTATTAAATATAACTGAAAATAATTTTGATGTGAGTAATGAATCTGATGATAATGAATGTAGTGATCATGAATTTTATGACATTCTTAGTGGAGATTATTTTGTTCAAAATGCTAGACCATTTAAAAGTAATGCTAAAAGTACAAATCTAGCAAGTGTGCAAGCCTTTTCTTATTTTGATACAAAAAAAAAGATTTAAATATTTTAAATATGTTACCCATTGTTAAAAATGTTTTCCTTAAATACAACACAACGCTACCCTCATCCGCCTCGGTTGAAAGATTGTTTAGTAGCGGTTCCCAAATATTGACTCCAAAGAGAAACCGTGTTAATGATAAAACGTTCGAAATGCTGTTGTGTTGTAGATGTTTGAATAAATAATACATTAATGTTCTAAAATGTATATTAATCTTTGTTGTATCATTAATGTTATAAATATACCTGTGTATAAATTATATTATCATGACATCAAAGAAATTGTTCTTTTATTTATTGCATAATATAAATTAAATTAGATGTATTTTACCTAATAAGTAATAACAATAACTGCATATCTACTAAGAAAAATTTAAATACATACTAAAATTGTTCATAATACATAATTGAAATTTACTGTGACGAGTCGTGTAAATTAGTTTTTTCTTTAATTTTGAAAATGTTTTTTCAGTTATGCCTTAGTTATTGATTAATAATAATGTGTACTGCTAACATTAATTTAAACGTCTAGTCGGTTTCATATAATATTGAAGTTCTAAGTAGTACCTAAGGTGTACTCTCAAAATTTAGACTTTAAATTAGGTGTTAAAAAAATTATCTTTTTTTATCTAGATAAAAATGTACTTATCTAATCCTAACACTGCTTGTGGATCAATACGTTTACCAACAGAAGTGATCTTAACACTGCAAGATCAACCCGGGCATATTATGACTCTTGCAGTACCCAAGGTTGAGCAAGTTAACTATTTTTCTTAACTTGTTTAGTCAAGTTACTATAGACAAAGTGAAGTTAAATTTAAAGTTAAAAGTTATTTTTGTTTTTTACATAACAAGTAAAAAAAGTTATTTTTTCATGTAAAATTAATGATCATACCTTTTCATTAAAGCTTAACAAATAACATAATATAGGAGGTCTTACTATTTAAAAAATTGTATTTAATTGTATTAATTACAGTAGGTACTTACTTACAGTACATACTTCAATTAATTAAAAAATTCAACAAAACCAATAAATTATTTTCATGAATTTTTGATACAAGTTATTTATTCCTAAATCGTTTCATACATTATTTAGATAGATAGTTGTACTAATTAATTATTAATAATACAAAAAACTTGTGGCAGTTTACAATTTAGAACTTATTTAGAATACAGAATAAAATATATAAATAATACTTATTTGATTTTTCAGACAATTTTTTTTTTATATGTATAAAAATCAAAATATAATTTTAAACCTATATAATTTACATTAAGAAAAATAAATTAATTAACTTGGGAAGTTCAAGTTACTAAAAAATCTTTAAGTTAGAAGTTAATTATGAAAATAACAGTAACTCGTTAAGTAACTTAACTTTAACTTTTTAACTTGTAAATGTCTTTTCAGTACCTACTCAACACTAATCTTTTAGAAAATATGGCCCACGGATGTATAATTAACGCAGTGATAAATTCGGAAAAAAAGGAAAAATGGAGAAAGTACTAGGCTAACGCAGGGGAGGGGCTAGTAGTGGCAGTTCAAATTTGGTATTATTTTCTGGATCAATTATCATAATCGTTTTGTAATTTAAAATATTACAAAAAAAATATTTTTTACTTAGTGATAGAAGATGCAATGAAAATTAGAACTATTATTACGTTGATTTCAAAAAGGTGTATGTAGCTTGGTTGTTATTTATTTATTACTTAAAACCATTTAATTTTATAAACAATCTACAACTATTAAATCAGTGGATGTTATCTAAAAAGTAGTCGAGTATTTTGTTAATAGTTCATTAACAGAACGATCGCTCATAAAATCATATGAAAAGCAGTCTGATACTTCCTGCACAACAATAAATAACAAAAGACCAAATGTGTATTGTAACCATTTTCGGACTTGCAGATTTCTGAATATTTTTCTTTGTATTAATTTGATAAACCAAGAGATTGTATTTTCTTCCACCATGAATTAGTCAATTGTGGCAGCCATTTCACAGTTTGTGTTCATCCATACATAATATTATTATTATTCTTTGATATCTATGAGTTTCAATGTAAGTGTTATCACTTATCAGTTATAAACCTGGTATCATAATTTAAGGTTACCAAAAAAAACATAATCATGACAATAAATTAAGGGTGAAGCATTAATACTACGGCTTAAATAGGAATAACTTTCTGATCATCATTGATTTTAGATAGATGTTTATATAAAATGATCATAATAATATAACAATATTTCCCGATATTTGTATGTGATAACAAATATTTTAGCCTATAATTATACCTAAACATCACCGATTTTCGATGCCCCTGAAAATTTTTCCAAAATATATGTATAACAAAATAATTTACCATTATTTGCTCTTGCCGAGTTTCACGACTGTAACGAAAGTGCGCCCATTCAGAGATGTTATATTATAGCAAATTTTAATGTATCTTCTGCACACATTGTTCCGCTTGTCTCACCTATCTTAATTAATTAGTTGCTATAATATATAATCACCTATTCTATATAAATATTTAATACAATTATATTGAAGACCGACCATGGACACAATTTGTAGAGTACTTGGAGGGGCTTCGAGATAGTAAGTTTATTAGTTTGGTCGTGATTCGTTACGTCGATGTGAAATGTTAACGTACGTTTTATCATGGCTAAATACTAATAATTGAAATTATTTTTATTTTTATTTAATTACTTTCAGCTATTATTATTGTAATTAATAAAAATACCTACTTCTTAATGAATTCTAATTAAAATAGAAAAACAATAAAAAATATTAAATACTTTACATAAAATATCCAATTAATTAATAATTAATATAAAATTTTAATTTTAAATTAGTATCACAATACCTATTTACCTATTAGTAAATAATAATTAGCCTAATACATTTATATATATTATACTGTTTTAATTAGTTAGTATACACTACATACTACACACACACTTCTAGTATACTACAGTAAATATTTTATAAATGCCGACTATGATTATATAAACACACAGAGTAAATAATATGTTTTTGGTTTATAATATTATACTTTACAATTTCAGATTTCGCATCATTCTTCCTAAATTATTAAAAACAAAACTTAATATATCATTTAATTTTCAACAATTTTTCTTATTAAAAAACAAAAAACTAAATAATTTTTTTAATTAATTCTTACCTAATATCTTCGAAGTCATTAGAAGATATTTCTATCACTTCAATCTCTATAAAAACAATATATATATATTATATACTGCTGAGCAAAATAAAACTAAACAATAACTAGTGGGTACTTATGTTTCTAATTCATGTTGAAACTCTTCAAATGTTGTGGGTGGACTATATATATATTTATAGTAGGAATAGCAGTTTCTTTTAACTTCCTTTTATTACGAGGGGAATAATTTAGAAAAGTTTCTATCATAGGCTTTACATAGAAATCATCTTCAAAGTGGGCGGAACAAATCCTAGCTAAAATGTTATATATATATAAGATTTAATAATACATTTTGTACAGTTTTTAATTTTATGTTTCTGTGTATCAACATTTTCGTTAGTTTTAACAAATATATTAATTGTTTTGTATTTAGTATTATTAAGATTTTTTCATTGATTATTATAATTATACTGTGCGTTATGCAGTCAGTATTATTCCCAGACTTGAATATTGTTGGGATACTTACCAGACTGTACGTTTATGTTATGTTTACCAGTAGCTATAACCCAAAGGTTTGAATAAAATGGACTTCTTGGAAATCTCTGAAACCTATATTAAGAACCTAAATCAGAGGCCTCTTTTGAATGATGTTTGTTTGTCTTACAATTCTTAATAACACACCACGACATTTTTACTAAGAGTCTTACACTAGGATTGATGGACGAACACAGGAAAAAGAATAACAAGTTGAATACTTGAACAAAAATTATTTTTATTGCAGTATATCAAACATTTAATAAACGAATAATATATATTATAGACATAGAGTTATAGAAATATTAAGTTTTTATCATAATATTTTCGCTATATGATATTTCTGTAATTATTTAACTTAATAACGGTAAATAATATAAATTTTATTAATTATCATAATTATTCATAAGTAGATAATAATTGTTGGCAGAAAAAACTTTACGGTAGTCGGGAGTTTGGTAATTTTCCCGCTTAATTTTTAAGATTTAGTCGATAAAAATTCTTGCCGGCTGACGTCATTTTATCATGGAATAAATTAAGATTTGTTCATTATTCCATGAATGCGCTTGTAGAATGGATTTTCGTATTATTGCTGTCATACCTAAGTATTTAGCCATATTGTGTTTTATAATGATGATGACATTTTATTTATTTTGGAGAGGGGAGAGGAGATTGAGATAACAGAAAGCGTTGTGTCGGATGTCTGGGTCCGGCACCTCGCCTTGCCGCCATTACTCCATACGACTCATAGATGAGAGGTTAGCATCCAAATTCGTGTAAGCAAGGATCGGAACAATACAATAAAACGTCTGGATCCGACGCTCCGGCTCTTCCTTTCCGCCATTATTCGATACGACTCACGAATGAGAAGTTCGCATCGAAAGTCGCGTAAATAACAATCGGAATAATACAAAAAAGGTCGTTTTCCAGTTTCCACGTGCGTGTGTGAAACACTTTAAATAAAAATTAACTTGTTCAGCGTATCGCGTTATTTCTACAGCAGTTTTGTGCTTTGATAGGCAATATTGTTCCAACAAAACTACATTAGATTTGTGTTTTATTTTATCTTATAAATTATCCTATTTTCTCAATATAGATGGCAATACCAGAAGATTTGGTGGACGACCAGTCCCTTAAAATTGATGGTAAGTATACCAAGCATTGGCTCTAAATGATAATCGATTTTTTATACTATTATTGATTTTAAGCAGTAGGAACACAATGAATGTTTGTACAATTTCGGTATCAAATAACTAGATTCACATATTTAATGTTTAAATAGGTATGTCAAACCAATTAAGAAGTTTATAACACATGATTATGTGCATTTTTTAGATACTTTTCTGTAGGAGAATAAAATTGAATCAACCATAATATAAAAATAACTATTAATTTCATGCTTGCGTAGTTACATTCTATTTTCCGATTTGTGTAGGTGCTATCATCAAAATAACATGAATTTGCATTTCAATACGTTGTATATAAAGTTCATAATATATGAAAACAAAGTATTTTATGTAAAAGTAGCTTAAAAGTTATTTTCAATATTTACTTATTATTTTTAAATATAAATTGCTTTTAGTAAACATGTTTGATTGGAATAAATATCTTGCTGCAAGAAATGCAAAAGAGGTGCCTCAAGATTTTTTTCATCATGTAAGTTATAATCTATGATATGTACAAAATAGGAACTTGTATATTTTATAATCAAAAAAAAATAAAATTTTATCTACAGATTTGTAAGAGTGAACTGAATGGAATTGAAATTGGCTCGGTGGTGGAAATTGAAAATGAAGATCAAAGTGGATATTGGTTTGCTAGTGTGTGTTCAACAGAGGGCATTTCAATAAAGTATGTAAAAAACATTATCTAATTGAATACATAATCAACAATATTTTGTTTCAGTTTGCGTTATTTTGGTGATAACAATGATCAACACTCCTTTTCGTTAAAAGTAACGTCCCCACGCATTCATTCGTTAAACTGGGGAAGCGAAAATAATAAAAAACTGATACCTCCTTATCCTGATAGATTTTCACTTTATAAACCAGAAGTTGTTAAAGAAAAAGTTCAAGATTGTGAGCTTGTTGTATCAAGTGCTGTATTACAAATGGTATATTTTTATATTTTATTAATTGTATAACGTTCAAAACAGCTTTCAAAATGTCAATACCAAAATAACAAATATTTATATTTCAGGGAGGTGCTCCAATTCATAATATATTCAAGTGTGGCATGTTTGTAGAAGTTCAAGATAGAGAATACCCTTATCGTGTTTGGATTTCAAAAGTACAATTCATTCCATAATATTAATATTATTACCGCCTTCTATGGCACTAAACATTGCCAATATTGAGTAATTTATTATTTTTAATTGAATATTTATTAATATTTAGGTGCTTAGAAATGTGGGAGGAAGGTTATTTTTACAAATGCAAGGAATAAATAGCCCTGAAGAGAAACCATTTTGGTTATTTTATTTAAATGAACGTGTTTTTCCATTCGGATGGGCAGAACAAAAAGGTATTTCACCAAAATAATGTGTTCTTAATTTATTGCATAATCAACATTGTTTTATGTTTAGGACTTCCATGGAGAGTAATGAATTTCGATGCTAGTTTAGAAAATTCTATCGATTCTAGTGTATTACTGAATGTGTTAAAGGTATTTAATTGTATTTATAAAATGTTTGATTAAAATACATTTAATATTCAAGTGCAATTAATATAAAATTAATTATACTACAAAAGTAAAATTTATAATTACTTTATTTAAAGATTTATAACAATTATTTATTTTTATAGATTTCAATCTTCTTTCTCATGTCACCTCTATTAAATTGTAAGATTTATTGTTTTGATTTTTACATTATTTTTTAAATTATTTTTCTGTTATCAGCCAAAGACACCAGAACAACACAGTTTTAAAGTTGGAGAAATGTTGGAAGTAATAAACCCTTATTCAATGATGGTATTTTATGTTGCTACAATTGTTAAAATTTATGATAACCGTTATTTTAAAGTTGAAGTGGATAATGAAATTGAAAAAGACAAACGTATCTGTTTTGTGGCTACAAAAGGAAATCCTTATTTATTTCATGCAGGTTTGAAAAATAGATTTATTTGTAGTTAGCTTTATGCATATTTATCATAATATGATTTCAGGTTGGGCAAGCGAACACAAATTTTTGCTAAAAACTCCGACTGATTGGAATAAACCATTCAAATTTTCTTGGTCAAAATATTTGATAGAAAAGAAAGCCAACTTTGCTGCTGTAAATAATTTATGCAGGAAAAAGATTACCAATGTTCATAGGGGTATGAAATTAGAAGCTGTTGATCCTTTGAATACTGATTGTATTCGTGTCGCTACAGTTAAAGGATTTGCTGACCATTGGATGTTGTTGTCTTTTGATCGGACGAGTTGGTAATGCATTTGAAAAATAAAAATTTAGTAGAAATTAACTGATGAATTATATGTTCTATGAAATTAGTTGTCAAGAATTACTCCATCTACGTTCAGTTTATTCAGATGAAGTTTTTCCAGCTGGTTGGTGTAACAAACACAATTATTCTTTGAGCGTTCCAAAGCTTCCGTACAATGATTCTAAAGATTTTGAACATTGTTATTATTCATCGGATATTGATATAGACTTCAGTCAGTCAGACCAAGATAATTTAACAAAATATCCAGATTATTTAAAAGGAGAAATCTTTTATCACTTCTGCAAAAGGTAAAAATTTTAGAAGGTGCTTATATTTTTTGTTGATTTTGTCTATTTTATTAATTTTAATATTGTTTTAGAGAGAAAAAAAGTTTTGATGATGGTTTTGAAGAAAAAGAAGAAGAAAATAATGAAGATGAAATTAAGTCTGAAGATTCTGATTTTGATTCCAATGATAATGTACCTATAACTTCAGAAATAGAGATTAAACAAGATAGTGATGATGAATGTGATGATGGTTTAATTTTAGACACTAAAAGTGAACCTGAATTAGATGAAGAATTTCATGATGCATTATACATTGATGAAAAAAATAATACTAAAACAGAGGAAGTTGATATTAAACCAAAAGAAGTTGATATTAAACCAGAAGAAGTTGAGATTAAACCAAAAGATGATATTAAACCAGAAGAAGATGATATTAAACCAGAAGAAGTAGATTTTAAAACAGAAGAAGATGATATTCAACTAGGAGAAGTTCATAATAAACCTGAAAAAAAGAAAAGTGCAAAAGTGGTTAACCCAAAAAAAAATAAAAAAGTTAATCATATTGAAAAAACAATAGAAAATGTAGTTAGAAATTCTTCAAATATGTTTTCTAAAAATAAATATGAAATTAAAATTTATTTTAACAAAGATTGTTATTCTGGCGGACATGTAGTAAAGAAGAAAATTCCACAATTACCAGATAGTATTGGTCCTGGTCCTGTATCCTCAATACTACGGGAAGCAATAACCCTATTTGTTGATTTAGATTATTTTCCTTGTAGTGCATTAAAAAAAATAAAAAAAATTCAAAACATGTTATTCAACGGGCCTGGCGGTGTTGAAATGTGGATTACCACCTCGTAAGTATTTCAATTTTTGATCACATTATGATAAGAACAAAATAGAATGAAATTATATGAACCTATTTTATTTAAGTGTAATGAAAAAAACTCGCAGTAGTTCCACCGAGTGTCTTCTTCTTCCTGAATCTAAGAAGAAGGCTAAAAAATATTGTTCTGCTCTTTGTAATCTATCTGGCATGTGTGAATTCTTTATGACCACTGAAGATACAGAGTGTCCTCATGGTTGTAATATAACACAAGATAAAAGTGAGTGTATATTATTTGTAATAGTTAGTGTATATTTTACATTTAAAAACATATTTATATTGATATTTTATAATAGTCATTGTTAAATTTTTCAAATGCCTAACTTTATAATAAAGTATAAAGCAATTAAAAAAAACTTTACAGTAAAACGAATAAATATCTCAATAATTCAAATTTTGAATGTTTTTAGCAAACCATGGCTATTATTTGTTTATAAGCTACAGTACTGTTATTACTTATAAGTTATAATTTATATTGAATCATTAGTAAGTTAATTTTATGTAGAATCTGCAGTCAAAAGACATCAGCCATGGGTATAATACTACATATTGTATACAAAAATTACACAACTATAAAAATCAATAGAATACATGTGGTAGTACCTTTAATATTTTTCAAATTCCAAATTTTATAAATAAAAATAAAATAAAGGTAAAACTAATACATTTCTGTTTAACTCTAACTTTGCATGTCTTAGCTAACAAATAACTAGAAATTGTTTATTAACTACAGTGCTGACTACTGTAATTTAGTTAATTCCATAAGAATAATATTTACATTGTGATTAGGAGTTCTTATAATTCTAATAATTGTAACACTCTTTTATTAAGTACATACTAAATTATCTTTTATTTATTTTTATTTCTCAAGAGGTCAATTAGACACCAACCTCGTATATGCTGTCTACTTCTTAACATGTTTTTTTTGTCAGCAGTACCAATTTTGTGTTGTTAGTTTTAATACAATCATGTTTAAATGATATTAGAGTTCAACATGAAACATATATGTAAAAACTTTGACTATACATTTTTGTAGGTTTTTATTTGCGGTATTTTATTGTAAGCTAGTTTTGAGCATTTTTAAACATTAATATTTATGAATTTCATAAAATAAAAATATCTTTAAACAAACCTTATGCATAGATCTTGCTTTAAAGTTTAATAATAAAACATTTCGCTCTGACATTAAAGCTAAAATTACAAAATAGGTTCTACTGAACTACTTTGTTATGATGTATATTTCTTGTATTTTATCTATTAGAATATAAATATATTTACATTGTTATTGTGTTATTATTAAAAATAATCAAATCTTCCATGTTTATAGTACCACCGTCAAAACTTGAAATCAATACTGTGCCTTTAAGTAAGAAAACAAAAAAAAATAAGCATCGAATTGGTGTTGGTGCTGTAAGATCTAACAATATCTCACACGATAAAACAACTCACTCAAAAATTTCTAGAGTTGGTAAGTATTAGATTATTGTTGTATCCGTTGTAAATAACTTTTTTATTTTCAACTTTTACCAATCAATATTAAATAAAGGTAGTATTTTAAATTGATATATTTTTAAATATTTATAGCTAACAAACTATTAGATCGGTCAAATAAACCTTTAGTTGCAAGGTATAAGCATTATATGGGGAGTATAATGGATTTAGAAACACATGTATTACGATTAAACAAGTGCCCAACTGAACTGGAATCATCAATTATAACTGAAATTATAGCAAAAAAAAATAGGCTTAAGATTATGGATAAAATGGAAGTGTTCAGCAATACTAAATCCAAAGTTGAAACCATTGAAGAAAAACTATTCGTCTTTAAAGATGATTGGTATATTGTTTATTATTAACATATTTTGATATTAAGTAACAATGATTTAAAAATTATTTCTAGGAAAACAAGTTTTGAAAACTATTATCGCCAAAATCCACGATTTAAGAAGTTTAAAATTGATATCGGACGATTAGAACATATTAAGGTCACGTCCAATCCAAAATCTTGGTCTCCTAGGGATGTTTATAAATATTTGTCTAATGATTTGTATTGTCGTGATATTGGACTAGTGCTATATACTGAGGTAAATAATATTGAATTAAACCTATCTAAAGTCATCATTTAACTTTATTAACTGTAATTTTTATTTAATATATTAGGAAGTTGATGGTATAGCATTTATGATGTTAAATGAAGAACAACTTCTATTGCGGTTACGATGTACAATAAATTTAGCAATAAGAGTATTGTGTCACATAGCTGAGGTGAAATACGTTTGTTTGACAGAATATTGTAAAGAAACAGTAAATATTTAAATTGTGTCTCATTGTTTAGATTAGTTTTAACCAATCTTAAATGGTATAATTATAATTTCCTAAATTTTATTATTTAATTAATAAAATCATCTAATGATAGGTACATGCAATGTTTAATTTATTTATACTTTCTATTCAAACATCTTAATAACTCAACTTTTTTATAATAAATTGGGATATGATAATAATGCAGTATAATAATAATAATAATATATAATAATACATATACTAGACAATGTCTTCCATATTTCACATATCATTCATAAAATCAAATATTTTAAATAAGGTAATTTTTTTTTTTTGGATATGAAAATTAAAAATATATATACTAATGTATTAATATATATGTATGTGTTTTCTTATAGTTTAATTAAATACTCTACAAACATTTTCTAGTTTTACGTCTTTTATTTTGATAAGAAAAAATGTGGTTTATTTCAGTTAAGATTTATTGGCAATAATTATGAATGTTTTGTGTAAAAAAAAATGTATATATATTTGAGATATATAATAGTAATAAAGTTTATTATTCTACTGATAAATTCATTGTAATTATTATTATTAATTGTATTTTTTTTGTACATATCATTCCATTAATATTTAACTTTTTTTTATACATTTAGTTAGTGTATTATTTTAAAACACACAACTGTTTATTTTTAGACATTAGTTTTAAATACTATTGAAATCAAATCAACCATTTTAGTATAGACTTAGTAGTATTGAACTCAACTCGATACTAGAACTATTTAATACAAATGTTGAAATGTCACATAATTGTTATTAATAAATTAAGTCAAACTATGTTTTCCTGAAATAGTTTTAGAAACAGTATATTTAAGTTACATCTAAAGACTAGGATTAAAGTAAAAAAAGGTGATCAAATTTGTATTTTTTTTTTTGTCATTTTTATGTAACTTTAAAATGAATTTAAGTTAATAAACAGAAAAAATTAATATTATTTGTGAGAAGTGTATTTTTTTTTATTCACTGTCCTAAGAAATGAACCATAGATTATTTTAAAATTAAATGCAGTTTGGATAAATTATTATCTGTTAAAATGTAATATATTGTTTTTATGCAGTATGGGATGTCATTGAAAAAAATAAGGTTGGGGTGTAATATTGTTCACCAATTAATTTGCATACATAATATTTTCTAATCAAATTTGTCGCTATTTAAATATTATAAGATATAAATAGAACATCAAATTTAAATAATAATAATATACGAGGCATGAACAAGGCTTTGACCTGCTGAGAAACTATTCCCCAAGAGTAATCCACACTTGATAGAAAATCTCTAAAATTTAGTTGTTAATGTTAGTTTACATTTAAAGATATTTAAGTATTTTAGAGATTTCTGCCTAGATGCAAAAACCAAAAATTATCCTTAGGATAACCAGGGGTCTTTTTTATTCTTTCAAACTTTTTCATCAATATATTCATTTCTTTTAAATGATTCTCATTTTCCCTTTTTTTCTACAAGATTTAATATCATTCTGTATGTTAAAAACCATCCATTTAACAGTGTTCCCCCATTATAGGCCTTACCTTCGAACTCTGTAACATAGCTCCTTTCTCTACTATTAACCTAGAAATTGTTTATATTCCTAATTTGAATTCAAACTTCATTACCTTCTTCAAAATGTTCACTCTGTATGGCTGTTCCATCATACCATTATTTTTACTTATTTGACCTCTTAATTAATTCTTTTTTTACTTGATTTCAATCTTCAATCTAAGAATTTTTAGCGTAGAGAATTAATTATCTCACTTTTTCTCTTGATTACTTAGCTGAAGTAGGAATGACTTCACTAATTGGAGTGTTTCTATACTCCATCAGACATTATACTCCAACCTGTACCAGCTTCTAAAGCTTTGCTTAACATTTTTCACCATTTATATTGTGAAACCTTTCTATCATTCCATTAGATTGAGAAGGCGGAGAAGATTGGAGAAGGCGTTGACCAATTCTACTTCAATATCTTTAGTAAACTATTTGAATTGATGTTAATTGTCTGCCGTTATCCGATTTCAAAACACATGGAATTCCAAATCTTGCAAATATACTAACCAATTCTGATATGATGTGTTTAAAATCAGTTTTTATCTACATACTTGGAAAAATAGCCTGCCAGCAATAGAGCATTCTAGTTATTAATGAAAAATATCTAGGCCTACCATCTAGGGTTTCACTTGGAGTCATTAGCTCTTTACTCTTTGCGGATTGATATTTTTTACATAGATCATAACTTTTCACCTTTAACTCAATGTCTTTATTTATGATTGACCAATACATTGCTCTCCTAGATCTCAATTTAAACTTTTGTGTATCTTGGTAATTGAAAAACATTTTATTTACAACTTATTTTTACAAAGATAATGGTACCACTATTTAATTGTCAACAGCCCTTTACTAAATCCTATTTTACACACATTCCAATAAGCTTTTAAATTGTCTGGTATTTTTCTATAGCATGACTAACTTGTTACAACCTATCCCTGAATGACTTTTAAATCTCTATCAATCTAAATCTCTTTTACATAATATTCTTAAAGTTTTGTGGTCTACATAGGAAAATGTTCTAAAGAGCTTTAAATTTTAAATTCTGCTTTTTGAAAACTATCAATTGCAAAATGTGATTCCTCAATACATTTTTTATTCATTATGAAAAAAGTTCAATAAAATTGTTTTATAATTTAGGAAATTAGAAAGAATGCAGTCACTCTTTAAATGATTCAAATACTAATGAAAAAAGTAGATCAACTCTTTTTAAACAGAGTTATGGTATATATTATTTTCTAAATTAACTTCTAACTTATCGCTTTTGTATTAATTTAACTTTACTTAACTTGAGTTAATTATTTTCATCAACTTGTTCACCTTTACTTACCCTTCTTAAAGTCAAGTGTTTATAATTAATTATTTATTATATACATATTTTGCACATAGCCTGGTTTTTCAATTTACTATGTGTACATTACTGCACAATATTACAATGTATACACGAATTAATGAGAAGCTGGGGTATCAAATATCCTGTTGGAAGCCCTCCGCCCAGACAACACAAATCTCATGATGCATTTTTTAATCAAAACCAATCTTATAAATACTGTATAAATCTGTTAATTGTTTATGTAAATACTATATCTTAAGAATCTTTACCCTGTATATGTCAATGGCTATAGTTGCCAAGATTATTTATTTAATAAAAAAAAAAACTAATTAACCAACAAGAATATTCATACTTATTCACTCAAACGGTGTTTTTTGTGGAATACACACTTGCCCAAACGGTCGTCTCCTTATTCAATAATGTAGTGTCTATCACCTATTTCAATAACAACGAGCTAAGACAAACGACGCATTTCCACAGTACAGTCGAAGTAATGACTGTCTAAAATAGAGTAGATTACGTCATTAGCACTGTTGACTTAAGAACTGATGAAGAAAACTATTCAACATTATTTGACAAAATTCTGGACATTTGAAGCTTACAAAAAATAAAAAATACCAAACGTAAAACAAAGAAAAGTGTCTAGTCGAATTGACAGCAATAATACTTAAAATTTTACCTCTGAATAAAAAAACTGAAATGAAATGTTATGTGTACTACACATTTTTAGATGACTTTTTAAACGGACTAGAAGAACGTTTTAGTCATGAAGTAAGAAGTTATAAATTAATGAATAATTTTTTAATTATTTATAATTATAAATTACACTAAGAAGTGGAATTTTACGTTTATTACAGTTTAGCCTACATAAACATGACTTAAATTTACTTTCCAATAGGTTTAACTTCAGTGACAGTAAACTTCAAGTAGAACTCAGGTTGTTGAAACTGTTACCGGAATTTGAAATTGGTAAAACTAACAAGAATATATATATATTTTATATACTTTATCAGTGGTTAAATAATGTGTCAGTTCAGTAAAATATTCCTTCCATCTTTCGGCTTTTTCTCCAGAAATAATGCACCATGACGATTCTTATGGTTTCTAATGTTTTCAGGTTAAGATTCAACGATCCGTATTGCCCCATGGTCCAGAAGATATTTCTAACATTTCCCAGCTAACAATTTCTTTCTGCCTTTTGTAATATTTCAATCCAAACAGGTAGCTGAAAAATATAAAAATCTGGCCCTAGCCAACCCCTCATTCGCCGTATCCAGTAAGGTAAATTTAGGTATTGCTTGGTGCTGACATATCCTGAATGGTAAAAGTGTATCTGAAGGCGATTCGTACCCCGTTGCATTTGGTTCAGTATTTGGTTAGATAGTAATTGGTTCCGCCCCACTATAGTTATGTTTCTACTTAACCAGTTTTCGTCAACGAGTAAAAAATATATTAGATTTGTTTCCAATCATTTTTTTAAAATTCTATTCCTAATGTAAACGACAAGTATAACAAAATTGGATTCGAGTACAATAAAGTTAATAACTAATTAATTAAGTAAAATTCGAAACGAAAACAATTTAGTAAATAGTAATATTTCTAAGTCTAACAGCTGACAATTGGGCTTTTCTATGCCCGCTAATAAAGGCTATTTAATACTGACTTGACCATTTCAGTCACTTAAGCCATCGTGGGAAACAATCCACTCAGAAAAGATGGTCAAGGAATGGACAGCTTAAAATGGGGAAATATATAATCTGTTTCTTTGGGATGGAAGAAAAATATAGTTTTGGGAGTGGTTTTGCTGTGCACGAAACGCTGGAACCATAAATAAAAGAGTTCAATCCTATCTCAGGAAGAATATCAGTACCACGAGTTGACACAAAACCTAAAAAAATAGTACTATTGTATTCACATGCACCAACGGAAACGGAATGAGGCCATTAAGGATGCGTTCTACGAGGAAATGGCACACGCTTATGATAAATTGCCGGGGAACGTAATTAAATTAGTGTTGGGTGACCTAAATACCAAATGCGTAAGGGGGACACAATTTCGACTAACTATAGAAAACGAAAGTTAACATGAGACATGCAACGGAAATAGACTTAAGCAGCACAGCGCAGCGTTCCTACACAAGTACATTCACAAAGTCACAGGGAAGTCACCGGGTGGAACAACAGCCAACCAAATAGATCATATACTTATACAAAGGAGATTTCACTCATGTATAAAAGAAATACGAAGCTTCAGAGGAGCTGACTGTGACACAGATCACTTCTTAGTAATGTAAAAGTTTAAGCTGAAGCTAGGGGGGGGGGGGTTAATGACTTTTTTTTGTTCACCTCTAAAATATATTTTTGAGGAGTGGTAAAACTAAATGCGTTAAAATATACTGAGTTGTACGCTAATTGAATAATACATTTTTGATTAGCTGAATAATGATATTTTTGAATGTTAATATTAAACACGCAGACACGCAGAACACTTTTATTGACTTTTTATAAACAAGTAAAAATATAAAATAAAAGAAACTTAAAATTGTAATATTAGTCTTAATATATTTTTTCACATTATAAGTTACAAACTATGGCAATCTTATTTTTCTTGAGTCTTTTGCAAAGTCATTAAGAACCTCATCTGTTGTTAAAATAATTTCGCGATGAATATTTAGTAGTGCTAAACTATTTAATCTATTTTCTCCAATAGAATTTTGAAGGTATGTTTTAAGTTTTTTTTAATGTAGAAAATGACCTTTCACTGCTTGCTGTAGTCACGGGAAGTGTAGCTAGTATTTGGAGAAGCTTATAAGTAGATGGAAAAATGAGTGGGTTACGTGCTATAAAAGCTTCTAATGCATTTTTTGGTTTCTCTGCTCCAACAAACTTTTGTGTCCATGTCAATACTTCTCCAATTACTGAAATTGAACTACATTGAAGATCTTCACTATACTTTTCTGCCAAATTTTCTAATGATTCAGGAACTTTTTTTTTAAAAAACTGTAAAATAGATTTTGGTTGTCCTTGTTCTTGCGTGAGTGCTTTTCTCTTCAGATTATTCATAGTGATTAGTGGCCTTAGTAACTACTTACTAGTAAAAACTTAACAAACATTAAACAGTTAAGACATTCAACAGTTACAAACTAACAAACCAAACTATAAATTTATATACATTATAATGTAGGAGTCAAAAACTGCTTGATGGTCGATTATTAAGTTTTAAGAAAATAAAAAAAGTAATTAAAAAAATTATTAACATCGTACTTTATTTTATTCATACTACAACGACACTATACAACGAAACCATAAGAATCGTCATGGTGCATTATTTCTGGAGAAAAAGCCGAAAGATGGAAGGAATATTTTACTGAACTGACACATTATTTAACCACTGATAAAGTATATAAAATATATATATATTCTTGTTAGTTTTACCAATTTCAAATTCCGGTAACAGTTTCAACAACCTGAGTTCTACTTGAAGTTTACTGTCACTGAAGTTAAACCTATTGGAAAGTAAATTTAAGTCATGTTTATGTAGGCTAAACTGTAATAAACGTAAAATTCCACTTCTTAGTGTAATTTATAATTATAAATAATTATAAAATTATTCATTAATTTATAACTTCTTACTTCATGACTAAAACGTTCTTCTAGTCCGTTTAAAAAGTCATCTAAAAATGTGTAGTACACATAACATTTCATTTCAGTTTTTTTATTCAGAGGTAAAATTTTAAGTATTATTGCTGTCAATTCGACTAGACACTTTTCTTTGTTTTACGTTTGGTATTTTTTATTTTTTGTAAGCTTCAAATGTCCAGAATTTTGTCAAATAATGTTGAATAGTTTTCTTCATCAGTTCTTAAGTCAGTTAAAGATTTCTTTAGTGCTTCAACAATTGATACGATAGCTAAGAGGTCTAGGTCTGATGATTATAACATTGTGCTAACTACATGAATTTGACTATAATCTAATTATAATTATACTAATATTTTAAATAGTATCAAATTACAACATTTTTCCAGTATAATCTAATATAATTATATAAATTTAATAATTTTGTGTTAATATTATTTTCAATTTAACTGATTATAAACATCGATTACAGCCTATACAAGCAGCAACTCTAATAGTTTATTAGTTATTAACTTATTTATTTTTTGATCACCTGATAAAA